CGTTTTCTCCATTTCTTGGCTTTCGTTTCTTCCGACTTCTTCTAGTGGAATGAACTGCAGCGCCTGTAGTGGAAGTGGATGATAAGCTTGGCACTTGATCATCAGCAGGAGAAGTGGAGTCAGAGTAAGATGAAGATATAGGAGCATGAAAATTTGTGGCATCTTCCAATTCAACATGGAAGGATGCATTGAAGCCAGGAATGTTCAGTTTTACCCTCAGGGTGTCTGAGAAACATCACAGATCATGAATTAAAATGAATATATACACTATTTATTTGCATAACATACTAAAAAATTTATCATAATTTGGCTTTGTTTGATTCATCAGCAAAGAAATTTATAATATTCTTCAATAAACTCTTTAGATACTTGAGAGAAACTAAGTTGATGGAACACACATGTTTCAACCACTTGATGAAATATTAGTTATGAATAAAAAGTATCAGCTGCAATTAATGGTTAATTATTAGTGAAATAAAAAAGAAGGTAACTTACTTGCATTATCATTCATCATGTCTTCCTCTGACAATTTTTCAACAATTGAAATTTTCCGATGAGCCATAACAATGATGCGCAGTTTGTTGCCCATATCTTGTAACTCATGAATTTGGACAAAGGTTCCAACAGGATACAAATCAGAGAGATTTTGAACCACTCCATCATCATTGCTGCAAAAAAATGAAAGTTAATAAGCACTAAAAGCAAAAAAAAAAATAAATAATAAGGCCACTATTGTGGTTCCACACAGTTAATACGTTAGATAGCATCTAAGTAGAGGTTTATAGTAATATAGACAGACACCTCTTATGAAAACCCAAAGAAGACAGCAATTGATTAGAAGTTTAGAACTTACTTTTCATCGCTTTTCATGAAGACACCTGCATAAGGTTGGTTTAGTTTCACTTTCCTTCTGATGATGGCTATGAGATCAGCATCAGTGATCTGGAAAAAAGGTTGATTGATGTTTTCTCAAAATATAATAATTTTGAAGCAATTGGTTAAAAATTACATACTTTCTACAACCAATATTAGGTATCTAAATAAAGTAGAGGAGGTTATGTCCAGTGGGCAAAGTTTTGTGTTGAAAAAAAGTCCCTAATATAGGACTTGGAAGCATGCAGTTAAAAAACTTGTACTCTCAACATGTGGATTAGAAAGGGAAATGGCTTTTGGATTATCTGAACCAAATTTAGTAAGACACTTTTGTCTTCAAATACCTTTTAGCGTGTCTTTTTGGCAAGTATTATTAAAGTTTCAAGTAGTTTTGCTGATGAATTTTAAATTATACTGGCAATATAAACCTGATATCAAACATAGGGAGTTTAGCAATTGTCTTATTAAGATCAGGATTTTAGGACCAAATGTTGCCAGACTTGTCAGTATTAATTATTGAGAATTTATTGCCCACTGTTGACTGCCCAGGCCCCAGATTTATCAGAAACTGGAGGATTTCATGCTAACAATACATATAATATAGAGCAGTCCAAAGGCATTGATTTTAAGGCTAATCCGTTAATGTGAATACAAGATTGGAATTTTTCTATTTATAATTGAAATCTTGCAGCCTATGAGCCTAAGCTATACAAATTTTAAATAATTTTGAAATCTCATTACTTTACATTTTGTAGCTTTGTTAATAATTAGACAGGAAATATTTCATCTAGTAACTATCTATGTCTACCTAATTTGTTTTGGCTCTATGCAACATTTGTTAATAGCCTTAATTGAGTTGCCAAGATCAAGATGCAAGTTTTAGGCAAATATGAATTACCTATATGATGCCAGTATTATTGAGAACTATTAGATAAAATTAATCCAATCCTTCAAAGCTAATTAAAAAGATTTCAAAGAGATACTTAAAGAGAAATATATAGGCAAACTTTTCAGATTTAGTCTAATTTCTTGCTTCTTTTTCTAGTTTAGATTATTATCAATTCAAATTCAAAACAAAAACCTAGTTTATAATACTTACCTCAATGATTTTGATAAATCTTGGAAATACAGGATTCCTGCTAATAGCAATCACAGGAACATTGGGCCAATGAGCAGAAACTGTCAGAGGCACATGTAAGTTGTCAAATTGAATTTCTTCTTGTTGTTGATGTTAAATGATGTACATCATCATCGTTGGGGCGTGACTCGTGAGCAATATGTTCTCTCAGATACACGTTTTTTGCTTGATTATTTGATAGTAAATTGAATCCAAAGCTATATGGTTGGCTAATAGTTGCAACTTGCAAGCGGTCGCGCGTCACGAGCAAGACTCGAAAAACACGATTTGTTCACAGAGGGGAGAGGGCAGTATTTCAAACTTTTTGGGTAAATTCCTACCCATTAAATTGGTATAATTTCGAGAATGACGCAAACAAGAAGACATAGCGTTGATTTTCATGTATTTGAAACTGGTAATCGTTCGCATTGACCCTAATCTATAATAAAAAAGAATTCGCCATGGCGAAGGATTCGTGACCGGCACTGAACAGCGTGCTTCAAGTCTCTTCCGCACGATGTCATCCGGCTGTGCAGAACTCTAAATCAGTAAATGACTCCAAACTTCAACACTGGACAAGACATTCACTACTAATGTCAACCAAGATTTAAAATCTGAAAAAATCATTTGGAGTAATATTTCAGATATTTAAATAAGTTTACTTAGTAAATGTGGTACTTAGTAAATTCGATATTAATGTTGTCCATAAATAAATTTTTGCTACAAAACATGTTAAGCCTCTTACAACCACAAGAAGCGAGACGGATCATGCACCTAGCAACTTCCTGCTATTTCTCCAAGAAGTATAGAAATGGTTCGCCTAACATTAAGATCAGCTTGCCGGTGTTAAAATCTGTCCTGAGAATTTTTCCTCTTTACTTAAAAATAATTTTAGCCATTTCAAACATCACTTCATAATACTAATTACTTTCTTTTAAAAATATAATATGAGAGTTTGACATAATTCTACATTAACTTACTACTTCATTATGTGCTTAAAATCTACTTTGGAAGATATGTGTTCTAGGTTAACCATTAAATTTATAATAATCTATTTGCGAACATAAAACTATATTCAGAGGGGCGCGAGAACCCACTGGAAACCTCAGAGAATTTATAAAATCAAGGTAATCCCAACAAGTCATAAGAGAAGGCAAGAATGCCTGCCAGTTTTCTAGCGACGCTGACGAAGGAAGCGAAGGCGAAGGGAACAGGAGACAAGCTTCCTTCTCACCGCCGCGGTCGCTTGGTGCAGCCGTTCAATTACTTCCTATAATTATTAAGAAGGAAATAAAATAATTTAGTGCATGATGCTCGCGGGTGCCGCCTACAATGATGGTTATTTTCTGGGTATTTATTGGGGCTGTAAAGTGAACCTGCCCGGCGACTGGTTCCCAATGCTACGATCGCGCTGTGCTCACTTGATCGGGTCCTTTTTATTGCGCCGAAGAACTGCACGTATTCGATTAAAATAATTTGCTTCTGATACTTTCAGTGAAATTCATGATAAGAGGCATAGGTTTATTAGGAATTCATTCGCAAATACAAATTAACTATTATTTTGAGATTTAATTCTTGCATGCAAGTCTTGGGTTTTTCACTCTTTGCATCTTTTTTATTGTGCATTAAATCCATATTAGATGGTCTCCCTCAGGGCTCTAATGTAAATCAAAAAGTTCATGTAAGCAAAAACAAGGGATTTATTGGGGTTTATACGTTGCCTAATAATTTTTGAATATTATTGACAAACTAACAAAATTCAAGTTTATAGAGGTAAATAAAAAACAGCTGAATTTTGAATGTTGCTGTTGAGGTCATACTTAACTCACCTTTCCTTCTTTGAAATCGTTTAGAATAACGCGTAGAGTGCTACACATGAGGGAGGAATCTTAAGTAAATATTAAGCCTTCTGTGAATAAAACATGAAAAATTAGTTGCAAGTATATCATTGTGATCTCGCATTGAACGTCATTCGAGCTCTTCAATAATTACAGCACCTGCTCTTCACCAGCCCCTGCGGCACCGAGGGCGCCTCCGCGTGACCTACGTCAGGTATCGCACACACAACACCCATGCAGGACAATCCCAGCTGATGGTGAATCGTGATGCACGAGGGCGCATGGGTATCGTGATGCACGAGGGCGCATGGGTATCGTGATGCACGAGGGCGCATGGGTATCGTGATGCACGAGGGCGCATGGGTATCGTGAATTCAGTAACAATGACAACTAAATTTGTACTGCCACGCATAGCAGGACAATGAAAGTTGCGTTTCTTACTCTTGTAACAACCATGACAGTATGAACTACAGCAATTTGAATTTATTTTCATACACGCAAATTTTACTACGGCAAAAAACACGCACACTAACATTAGAAACTTAACATGAAATCAATCTTTCATACTGAATGAAGTCGTCGTGTTTTTTTTTTGCAAAAAAAAGTTAATTCTGGATAACTGAAATCTGAATATCATTGACAGCACGAACTTATTTGAAAACAAATGCAAATTTACAAAATATATACGAGGAAATTCTAATAAAAAATCCCAAGAGACGACACGAGAGAAGCTTTGAATGAAAATCAAATCTACTACCAGAGGCGTGGATAATTCGAAAAAATGCAGCTACTCAGCACTGACAAAATATTACATTTCAATATTTAAAAAATTTAAAATTCGTTCGAAACTTCTAATCCACTAATAAGTGAACATATACTACTATGAGAGATCTAAATCGTGACGTGTTCTCTTATTTTACATCATAAAATAGACTCCTGCGTTTGGTATTTTTTTAGCCGAGACGAGACAACAGGCTCTGTCCCGGTTCGCAATAAAAACCGGGACAATTTTCAGCCCTCCATAGTAATTCCGGGACGATACCGAGACGAGACGAGACATCCCGGTTAAAATAGGTACCTTAAATTTCCCGGAATTTATAGCCATTTTAACAAGACATAACGAGACGAATCAATTATTGATGTGGTGTAAACTTTGGCTTACCATCATACATTTATATAATAACTTGAGATAAATTAATAAATAAAATTACCAAGACAACTTTCTTACCGAGATGATTCCAGATTCCTTAACTAAACTGATCAAGATTTCCAGAAAAAAAGTGCATTGTTAAAGCATGGCTTGAATTTCTCATTTCGCGGCGTCTTGAGCGGCGCGGTTTTCTTTGTCGAGTTTTTCAGGAGAAATTGCAAGATTTTTGCTTATTTTATCGCAGGACTTCTTGTGGGTTGACCAGTGCAGCTTCTGGCAGTATCTGAACAACAGAATAATATTAAGGTAATTATTATCCAAGATATAGAGCAAAGGTTTAAGTTAATTAATTAGGTTTAGTTAATGAACAAGATACAGCCCATCTAGACAGTTGGGGACAGCAGTCTAGCGTGAACCATGATAGGATGAGCATCTTGTGAGCGTGCTATTAACACTTATATGTCTTCTTTATAGAGTCAAATTGGGTTGAGATGACCAGCATTAGAGCAAAAGTACATCGCTATTTCGACAGTCTCCTTGATTTCATAAAGTGTACGGTCCAATAAATCGGTAAACTAAATCTTATTGTATACTGCACAAAGCCATTTAGTATTACCCACACCACGTTGTAAGATTTCTAATAATAAGTAGCGCTACAAAGGTAACATGAGTCGGCATCACAGCCAGGACTAGGAGGGATGCACTGCATTCAACAACTTAGAATCATTTCATTACTAATAACGTTACGTACTTTATTATTAACTCAGAACATTAATACAGAAAACATTTAGAGACAACATTACTTGTAAATCCTAGATCAAGGATTTTGGTATCTTCTATTTATCATATTCCATTTCATTCATCATCAACAAACAATAACAATAATTGTTACACTATTCCAGGATAAATATAAAAATTGAGACCCTTCTATGAATGGTTTCCTTGGCAACAGCCTGCAAATGTAAGCAATAAGAAGCTAAGGGTTCTTCCCTTCCATCATTCTGTTTATCATGAACGAAGCATAACAATAGTTACACTATACCAGGATAAAGATAAAATACAAATAAACCTTTCTGTTGAGGGCTTTAGCGATGTACTTGACAATGCTGGTCTTGCCAACACCGGGGGGCCGTGGAAGCACAGGATCTTGCCCTGCGCCCCGCAGCTGAGCCACGGCGATCAACTCTGCACAACACAATGTTTTCTATTGCAATCCAATCTCATGTGACGGCTAGTGCCACACATTATATTAGTATATTGCTGTATTATGTTCATATTGTAGCAAAGCGCTAAACGTTATTGACAGTCAAATGCATAAATCATTTATAGACAACAACTGAAGAGAATTGGAATATAAAATTAAGGCCAACGGTACAATTGCAAGAAGCTAAATTTTGTTGAAAAAGTTTCTGAACGTAATCTCTTTCAAAAAAATAAACGGATGTTTTGAATGCCAGTACAATAGTACAATCTTTGGGAGCAATTAATAAACAAATGCAGAATTCTTAATAAAATGAAACAATTAATAAACAAACCCAGAATCCCTTTAAAAAAATGAAATTTTGAATGCCACTACAATAATACACTCTTTGGGGATAATTAATAAACAAACCCAGAATTCTTTTCTTGACATCTTCAAGACCGTAATGATCTTCATCGAGGATTTTCTTAGCTTTATCTAGATGGAGATGTTGTTCACTGGTAACGCCCCACGGCAGGACGGTGAGCCAGTCAAGGTAGTTACGCGTGACGCTGAACTCAGACGAGTGGTTGTCCAGGGGCCATACTTTCAAAACTCGCTAAGTGAACGTAAGTACTTACGCTCTATTTTCTTGTCTATACGTGGCAGTCTAAAGAACCATCTGCAGAGAGTAGCTTAACAGGTGTTGCCACCTGCCGGGATTAAACCTCGTTTGCTGAATTTTCTTAATGGAAGCCAAGTAGGCTTGGGAGCGCTGCCGTAGCCCAAAAATTTGACTCTTAAATCAGCCCAAGAGCCAATGCCAACCCTCTACATGCAACTAGTCCCTGTGGCTTTCAGCAAGTAATCATGTTGGCTAATTTGCTCTGCAGCATGCTTGCGCACGGAGTGAAGTATGAAAATTATGCTGGTATTGGGCAATGCTGGGCTATTTCAGTCGTCCCCACCTAGCAACTTCCGGCTATTTCTCCAAGAAGTATAGAAATGGTTCGCCTAACATTAAGATCAGCTTGCCGGTGTTAAAATCTGTCCTGAGAATTTTCCTCTTTACGTAAAAATAATTTTAGCCAATGCAAACATCACTTTATAATACTAATTACGTTCTTTTTAAAATATAATATGAGAGTTTGACATAATTCTACATTAACTTACTACTTCATTATGTGCTAAAAATCTACTTTGGAAGATATGTGTTCTAGGTTAACCATTTAATTTATAATTAGTTCCTATATGAGAACATAAAACTATATTCAGAAGGGCGCGTGAACACACCGAAAACCTCACAGAACTTATAAAATCAAGGAGATCCCAACAAGTCATAAGAGAAGGAAAGAATGCCAGCCAGTTTTCTAGCGACGCTGACGAAGGAAGTGAAGGCGAAGGGAACAGGACACAAGCTTCCTTCTCACCGCCGCGGTCGCGACGAGTTCTTGTTGGGTGGCTTCCGATGGGACTTTTATTTATCGCTTTATAAAATAGGTTTAAATTAATTGGCTGCTACGCAAATATATGATGCATTAAAAGTCCGGATTTAATTTCGGTTAATTAAGTACTATAATTATTTAATTATAAGTTAGTCCCATTTACCTAACTCATATGAATAAAGTAAAATACAGTCATTAAAGTGAGAGAAAGCGATATGTTTGTTGCAGAGCAAGGCCTTTTCTACAAATCATTTTCGAATGTAATTTTTTTTCTATCGGGTCACAAGTTTGTATTTCGTAAGCTCATCACTACCTCCCGCGGTCGATTGGTGCAGCCGTTCAATTACTTCCTATAATTATTAAGCAGGAAATAAAATAATTTAATGCATGATGCTCGCGGGTGTCGCCTACAATGATGGTTATTTTCTGGGTATTTATTGGGGCTGTAAAGTGCACCTGCCCGGCGACTGGTTCCCAAGGCTACGATCGCGCTGTGTTCACTTGATCGGGTCCTTTTTATTGCGCCGAAGAACTGCACGTATTCGATTAAAATAATTTGCTTCTGATACTTTCAGGGAAATTCATGATAAGAGGCATAGGTTTATTAGGAATTCATTCGCAAATACAAATTAGCTATTATTTTGAGATTTAATTCTTGCATGCAAGTCTTGGGTTTTTCACTTTTTGCATCTTTTTTATTGTGCATTAAATCCATATTAGATGGTCTCCCTCAGGGCTCTAATGTATATCAAAAAGTTCATGTAAGCAAAAACAAGGGTTTTATTGGGGGTTTATACGTTGCCTAATTATTTTGGAATATTATTGACAAACTAACAAAATTCAAGTTTGTATAGGTAAATAAAGAACAGCTGAATGTTGAATGTTGCTGTTGAGGTCATACTTAACTCACCTTTCCTTCTTTAAAATCGTATAGAATAACGCGTAGAGTGCTACACATGAGGGAGGAATCTTGAGTAAATATTAAGTGTTCTGTGAATAAAACATGAAAAATTAGTTGCAAGTATATCATTGTGATCTCGCATTGAACGTCATTCGAGCTCTTCAATAATTACAGCACCTGCTCTTCAGCAGCCCCTGCGGCACCGAGGGCGCCTCCGCGTGACCTCCGTCAGGTATCGCACACACAACACCCATGCAGGACAATCCCAGCTGATGGTGGTGGTGGTGGTGGTGGTGATGGTGATGAGGGGTTGAGGTGAAGGTATTGCTTCTAATAAACGCTACTATCACCTCTAGATGACATGTGAGCTACAGCAGTTGTTGGTGTTACTGGTGTTGCTAGTAATCCAACTAACGTTTGAAAATTGAATGGAAATATCAAAACTATTATCAGCTCCGTTTATTTTCTCTGTAAACACACGCTTTGGTTTCAAGGTTACCTAACGTCTTGAAGTTTGAAAAAAACTTCATTCACTTGTGACCCACCATCTTAGAGCACGTTTTAGATTTTTATGGTCTGTACGATGTCCTCATTTCACGGGAGCTACCGACACATTCAATGAATCTTGGATTTTTTTTGTTCACCAACAATGAAAATGATTCGTTTGTTTAGTGAACTCTGTGAGTAACAACAAAATTGCGTGCAGCACGTTAATGTAATAACCATCACAGATCCATTGAATTTCATGGGATTTTTACATGTAGGGTCACCGTAATCAATGGGAATTTAGTCACAGGCGTGGGAATTTCCCGGTGGCGGCTTGCCAAGCTAATCTGCCTGCCACTTATTGCACCTGAATGACCCCAAAAGCAGATTTATTTATGAAGAGCATAATTCGTTTGTGAACTAACTTTGATGTTACCACGAGATGGTGCTGGTGGTGGTGATGGTGGTGGTGGTGGTGATGAGGGGTTGAGGTGAAGGTATTGCTTCTAATAAACGCAACTATCATCTCTAGCTGACGTGAGAGATACAGCAGTTGTTGGTGTTACTGGTGTTGCTAGTAATCCAAGCATCGTTTGAAAATTGAATGGATATATCAAAACTATTATCAACTCTGTTTGATTTTCTCTGTAAACACAAGCTTTGGTTTCAAGGATACCTAACGTCTTGAAGTTTGAAAACAACTTCATTCACTTGTGACCCACCATCTTAAAACACGTTTTAGATTTTGATGGTCTGCATAATGTCTACATTTCACGGGAGCTACTGACACATTCAACGAATGTTGGATTTTTTTGTTCACCATGAATTAAAACGATTTTTTGTTTAGTGAACTCTGTCAGCAACAACAAAATTGCATGCAGCACGTTAATGTAATAACCAGCACAGACCCATTGAATTTCATGGGATTTTTACCTGTAGCGTCACCGTAATCAATGGGAATTTAGTCGCAGGCGTGGGAATTTCCCGGTGGCGGCTTGCCTAGCTAATCTGCCTGCCACTTATTGCACCTGAATGGTCCCGCGCATTCATTATGTGTTCAGTTATCTGCCTTTGTCTGATATAAATAAGCGGTAATGGGCTTATCCTGTTCAATATTTCTATTTTGATTATTTTGACCATGAACATGATTATTTTGACCATGAATATTTTAACAATGATTATTTTGACCATGACCATGATTATTTTGACCATGAAAAGTAATATGGGAAAATATTTCGTTGGAAAAGCAGATTTATTTATGAAGAGCAAAATTTGTTTGTGAACTACTGTACGTTGATGTTACCACGTATGTTGTAATGCACAGTGCCAAGCCTCACATGCACTCCTCAAGACACTATACACACCAGCCAGCTTCGTATTCCTTCGTATTCCTGAGTACGTTTGCATGGGGCACAATAACCCTAAACCTAACAAAACTTCTTTACGAGGGGAAATTGCGATATCCCTCTCTCAAAGGGCTTTGGTTAACTGTGTGGGATAATATTTAAGATAAGTTTCATCGTTGCAACTCAATGTACAACTCTGCTTAGATTGGAATAAATATCCAATTAATACGATTGTATCTTCCCTTGTTCATTCGTAAGTAACTCACTTAAGCTTGAGAGTTACATCGAAAATGTTCCACAATCGCACGAGAATAAAACCTCCAACTACTACGATTGCATCTTTCCATACCCATTTGTTAGTTACTCACTTAGACTTGAGAGTTCTCACGTTGCTTGAGAGAATGCTCTACGAGTTCTTGCGTTGCTCATGCGGAATGTTCTCTCCAAAGCATTCAACCTCGATTGCTGAAACGAATCGAACTACCTTGCATGTACATTAGAGTCAGCTAGTCATTCAAAATTATTTATATCTATATTCATGAGAACTGCAATATCTAAATAGCTACTCTATAGATTCTTGCGAGCCTAAAAATTCACGATTGATGTAGGCTCAAATACAAATTTGTTTGTGAAACGGCAATAATATGCACCGCAATATTTACGACAAAATTATTGAGATTTTATCCAATTAACGATATATACTTGCTTGGCGAACACGGTGAAGTTGTTTACAGATGTCCACCCGAATGTTGACAATATTATTTTTCTTGGCGTTCGTTTTCTCTCGCGAATTTGATGAAACTGTCGAGGCAGATTCAAAAGAGGCTGATGTGATGTACAAGATCTAAACTTCTGATGTTATCTACGGCTTTGTCTGAGACGTTTTGTTTACACTTTCAAGGGAGGAAATTCGAGTTGCCTGCGCTAGCGGGCATATCATGTTAGCCGAGGGCAACGTCGGCCGTATAGTCACTTCTACTGTTACCCTCAGCCACATTTGCACGACGTTAATATATGAGTTCTGTTTTTAAATGTGTATCGTCTTCTTCTTGCAAAGAAACTTAAGATTAATTTATGTTCTCACTGTTTGCGTGATTTTGAGATTGGAGATTGTGAGCAAAATAGCGAAGTCGGCATAACACGCTATTTTTTATAAGTGGTAAATTTTGTTACTGGGCAGTTTATATGCCAAGTATATGGGCAGCTCACATGAAAAATGATTTTGTTTTGCTTTAATTACATGATGCTTATTCCGATCACAGTTTATATTTGAATTTTGGAAACTTGTCCACTCCACTGCCCGCGAAAAAATACGTAAGATGAGATAGCACTTATTAGGTCTGCATAAAGTATCGAACCATCTTTTGCTTTCAGTGAAAATTAGCAACTGGTGTATATATATAGGAACCTGCTGGTGGTGGAACTGTAGACTTAGTAGGGAAGGAATCATGTATAGTAGGGC